CTGGTTCATGACCTTGGGAGCAAGATGTCAGCAGTTATTCCAATATCAACTCAAAATTTTTTATATTATTTTATTTTTTTTATTTTAAATGATTCAAGAACTGCTACATAAATATTTTCCTTAATAAAATTTATGATAAAATTTTATGCCTTTCCTCATAAAAGCAAAAAGGTATTTATCGACGAATAGAATGATAAAGAAAGTTGAAATTATTTTTTAAAAAAGATTTCTTAAAGAAAGAACAAGTTTCTTTTTATTAATTTTTTTCAAAATAAACAAAATTTACTATTTCTTTTTTTTTGTTATGTTTTAAAAATTGGTAACTATTATAATTAATATAAAATGATCAAATTTTTCATTCGGGTTGGTGCAAAAATTGATCGACAAATCATCTGATCACACTAATTCTATAAAATCAGAACAAACTTCCATCTTGAATATACACATTTTCTTTTTTTTTCTTTGATAATTCTTTTTTTCAAAGTAAGTATACTCGTTTCGTGAATAAAGTTATATTTACATGTACCAACTGTTAACTTTACATTTTTTTTAGATGAATAACGAAAGGATTGCAAAACGTTTTGAAGCTGAAATTACGCGTGAAATTAGAGCAGAAATGCTAGAAACGAATAATATAAAAAAATTTAATACCGTACTGTTAATAATGATTATGATATTACTTCGTATTCTATATTATGAAGGTACGTTTAAGAATTTATTTTGCAAAATTGCCACATATGACCGTGTACAAATAGAAATTGTCTAATTATATCCTTTTAAAATTTTTATTACAGAGATTACGGATTTCCTTAAAAAAATCTTCAATAATTAGGAATCCTTTTTTTTTTCTTTTAATTTGTATTTTCAATTTTTTTATTTGCTATTAAATACTTTTTATCGCGCTGTCACCTTACTTCATTTAATAATTTTATTGCAATAAAAATATCGTTTAATTTCCTGAGGAAGTAAGCTACAACGATCAGTTTACAAAATTCAAAAGAAAGCAAATCGAATCTAATTCTTTCTTAAAAAGGATCAATTAATTATGGCTGTGGTCTAGAACAAATACTTATTATTGAAAGGAAGGAAATGGCATAGGTCTGAAATGTCAGAAATGTGAGATCTACCATCTAAGTACTGCAGTAATTCTTTAGCGTTAGAACCAGGCGCACATGCAAAAATGAAATAAGCTAATTCGTGTAAGTAAAGTTTTATGACTTCCAAATATTCAACCTCTAGTTTACGTGAAGCTTTTGCAAAACTAAACAATCACGCTCAATTGATTATATTGAACCCTTTATTAAGCTATTATTATTTTTCTATAGTCCGTATACCCATGATAAAAAACTTAAGAAAAGAAATCAAAAGAGTGGTGGATACTTTGGATTCAACACTGGATGACGTATTATTAAGTGTAAATATTATCGGGTCATTCTAACTTTATAATTATTAATCTAATTAATAATTTTATTATTTGAGTTTCAATATTTGAAGACATTTTGGTGGCCGAAAATACAAGAACTCACAAATTAATCAGAGTCCAAGAAATGGCTTATCAGATATATAAAATACTAAAATTGCATCAAAAAAAAGGCTAAATCAAAGCTTTACCTGAAATAATGGTGAAAGCTTCTGACGACAATTTTGAACCTGTCTCAAATTAGCTTTTAAAGGATTGGGAACAAGGATGTAAGTCATTTGTGAGAAGGCGTGAGCACTTTCTTGGAAGGGCTTGACGATATAAAAAGGGGAAAAGTCAAAAATATTATGAAAAGGCCGAAGTTAAAGTAATATTTCTGTTGCGAACAAGCAAGCATCAAAGCATAGGAAACATGTAGCAAAAAAGAAGCTATGCTTCATATTTTCGGAGTAGATATGTTAGAATAGTTCCACTCATATTGCCTTTTTTTGAATGGATATGCATTTAAGAAGGCAAGCTCCTGTTGAAAATCCGTCCAGCAGCAAAGTCTTTAAGTCTTTCAAAAAATAATGCTGTTGCTCCATTCCGAAGAAGAGTGAAAAGAATTTGTCAAAACAAGTTTACTAGCGAAATTATTCGAGTCCAAGTTTGCTGAATTGATTTCTGAAAATCAGACTGTCTCTCCGAGAAGTTGGTTTTCCTTGTTTATTTTAATATAAACAAAGAAAACGGACAATTCTTTGACAATATTACTATTACCGTCATTAGGACTATAATTGAGATATTTAGTTTTCAATTTTGTTAAAATCTCGGACCGGTTTGTGTGAAAAAAATTGAAATTGCGTTTGGAGGGTAAGTTATTTAGCAACTTGGAATTATGCAAAATTTTTAATATTTTATCTTTATATTAGCCATTGAGAAGTTGGATCCGTCTGAAGTTATTTATCGAGTTTCTTTCTATTAAATCTGTATGTGAAAGAAAGAAATTTCAGATTATATTTTAAAATACGTGTTAACCAATGTTTTAAAAACATTAAATATAATGGAGACACCTTCCATCATTTGGAAAACCAACAACTTTTTTCACATAATAATATAATATTTATATGATTGTTACTTTAGTAGAAATGTGCGGGAGACACATTAACGGCTTTTCTCGAAACAATTGGTATTTTCGCAAATTTACTAGTTATGTTATCTAAACTGATTAATATTACAATACTAATAAAACCTTTTAAATTACAGCATATTACCCAATGCATAAAGCAAAATAAAATGAAATTAACAGATTGTTTAATATGGATACATGGAGTTTGGAGAAGTTCTTCAAGCGCAAGAATTGATTGAATTTCTCAATTTCACGTTAGGCAATCTGTTCGCACAAATTCTGTCACTTTTTGGGAGCCTTGTTCGTTTTTTGAAGGATTAAGTAAAAAAGAAGAAATTTGTTAAAAATGAATCATATATATTCCTTAATTGTAATATAATAATTTATTTAGGAGCTGTAAAAATAATGAGTTACCAGATTTGTCATCATGGTATAACCAATTCTTTCTTGCAAACAAGTTCGAAATGATGAAGTTATGAAAAGCAGTATCAACTTGTTTAAAAAAAGTGCCGGATATTATAACAAAATGCGAGTATTTTAAAGGTGCACTAAATAAGCCGTTTAACCAAACAGCACTGAATTAAGAAAGGATGCGACTTGCTGCACTATCAGGCAACGATGCAAATGATTTAGAAAAGATATATGAAGAGCCAACGAAAATGCCACCAGGAGACCACCAGCTAATTCAGCTTTTAATAAACTTACTGCAACATTAGCAAATCCATGAGCCACAGAAAATCCTAATGCATCGAAAATACCTATAAATGGACCACCTTCTTTATTAGCGGCACAACATATTAATATTATTATAGGCTTCAGTCACCTTCTCATAGAGGTGGCATTTCAAGTGATATTGGGAGAGGGGTACCACTTCCGTCAAGATTATATCTCGAATTCGTTCTAGCATGAATAGTGCAAATGGGCAAATTCATACAGTATCTAATGGTTCCATTATAAGAAAGATTTGTAAAGTATATAAGTTGATAATTTAGAACATTCTCTATCAGATAATATCAAAATATATGTGATCGAACATCTGAGCGTTGTTCTGTTTGTATGGTTGGGATTATCATTATTAAAATTATGAGTACAGAGTTACAACAAAATATTGAGGCATTGGACAAACATTTGATGACCTTCTGAATCCATTATTCCTAATGTAAATGAACTCGTAAATGTTTTAGCATTCCAAGTTTGACTTTCTCAAACACAGCTTCAACCACAATCACAGAGTTTTGATTCGACTATGTGAACCAACTTGTCTACTTTTATTTTTAAATTTGGCACTAGTAGCTTCTCAAGGTTCTCTTGATCGTTTATTATCTGATCTAGCATATCGTTCTTTAGATCCTAATCTCACAGTATTGGATGGTGGACAAAGTAAGGAACAGGGAGATATTATTAATTACCATTGTGGAGCCATCAAAGGATTTTCTGCACGATTGTTCACCTATACTAGAAACAACTTTTACTTTATAATACTTAATATTCCTTCATGCCATCCAAAAGAAATATTCTTTGCTATGCTTTTCACATGATGACCAGAACCATTATCATGTTCCATATCATTTGAAGACAATCTATCCCTAAGAGGTTGAATTAAATGATTTCGTGCTATCGCAATTGTATAGGAGTTAAACAACTAAGTTGAATGATCCATTCTCCTAATTTGTAATTTGATGAATATCTCGTAAAATGCTCAATATTAAGCTCTTAGAAAGTTATGACAGGTGTGGAAAATATCTTTAATGTTGAGGTAGGTTTTTTTGTAGTACGCTAAAAACCTTCAAAAGTTTCAGTAATGTAACTCTCAAATTTTTCGCAATAATTTTCGACTTCTTCATCCTCATATCGAGAACGATTTTTCAAATTGATAAAACGATCTTGCTTGGAATCAACAGGATATTTCTCAAACATCAATCTATAGGCATCGATGAGACATTTAGTTTTGTTTTAGTTTCAATACGGAATTCAGTCCAACTATTAAATTTGCAAATAGGTTTAAAATGCTGGTAACTCTTAACATTGTATCCAAAAAACAATCATCTTGAATATTTCACCTATTAACACAATATATTCTCCTTTTTGAACTTTTTATCAGATTGAAAATGAGTATTCCTTCCTTCAATATGAGCATAATTGTTATGAGAATCAATTAACGAGTGTTTTTTTTTTGCTTTTGAAAACAATATTGAGTTTTTCGAGCGTAATTTTAACTATTGATGAGCTGAAACGTCCATTTTTAAAACAAGTGACATCGAGTGGGTTTGTAGTCTATTTATACAACTAAATTATAGGAACACCAAGGATTGAAGAGTAGGCGGCAAGTTAATAACTATTCAAAACGAGAGAGTTAGTTCATTTAATTATGTAACTTATATAAGCTAAAGAGGATATGAAAATTTTTAATTACCTTTATAGTTGGAGTATCCAATCATTAAAAAAAATAAACATAAGCACGACATATTTCTTTAGCTTTTTTAGAAGCGCAACCGTGCCATCATCTTCGCTATCGGTATATTCTCTATCAGTATTATAATCAACGTAAGGTGTTTTAGGTTCTGAATTTTCTTTTACGAATGCTACAATACATGAGCCATCGGGAGAACTTAAAATTTTTGCGGCATCAGACGGAAGGTCACAAGTTGTTGGTCGAAATTATTGATTGATAAGATTGAATATACGTGTATGTTCGACATAGCAAAGTTCTTCGATACTATTGATGAGAAGTGTTGAATGGTGTTTCTATTAATATCAGGTTAATATTTTATTAATTCATAATATAAATAATCAATTCACAAATTTTCAAAATATTATGCAGGGAAGGGCATCAATAAAAAAGTAATGTCACTTATATTCTCAAGCACCATCAAGAATATCTTCATAGTTAATATGAGTTGTTTTGCTAATATAATTGAATTCGTGTCAGTTAAAGTTTTGTAAATTTATGTATGAAAGTGTAGTTATAATTGAAATATAAATGGTCATAGAGAAAGTAAATATAAAATAATAAAGTTAGTGGTAAATTAATATTGAAGAATCAATTAAACGAGAAACATACCTGTTTAAATATTTACAATTTTATTGCTCTGTTATTATGTTTTAAAAATTTAAAGAAGTGACTGGTGTGTAAAGAAATTAATTATAAAAATTGCTACCGTTAACGTGGTTTGTAGATATGTTTTAATTTACTTCTACTACGGTATAAAGTATATATTTTAAAAAAATTAAAAATTGTCTCCATGATACAAAGTATAAATCATCAGTCATTTGTATATTTAATCACGTGAAGATAACAATTCAAAGGGATGTGAAATTAAATAATTATAACTTCTTATGAGTATTGTCGTTGTGGGATAGTGCGTGAGATTTCCTAGCCAGTCATCCTCGGGTACGACTCCCACAACGTGCAATATTGGGTGCTGTTATGACAACAAGTTTCTAATAAGGTGAATGAATGATTTTCATTCATTCCATGGGATGTTGATGATCCTATCCACCCATGTTATGATAGATGTTCCGGCCAAAGGTTCCCATGTTGGATCAGGGTTTGTTGTCGACTTTGTGGGGTCTAGGTGGTAGTTGGCTATATCAACTATGTGCCCAATTTCCCCAGAGCGTGGGAGTAAGCGTTAACTACCCTGGTTCATACCTAGAGGCAAGATGTCATCAGCAGTTATTCAATCCACTCAATATTATTTTATATTAATAAGGTTTCTTAAAGAAATATTTATATTTACTATTTTGTTAATTTGTTTCGTCTGTTTTTATTATTATCACTAACTATGTCCCACTAGACATTTCTGTAAATTTGAAAATAAATTATGAAAAAATTTTCAATTTCTCGCTAAAACTTGGAAAATTATTCGAGTAGAAACAATAGATAATTTTAAAATTAATTTTTACGGCCGATCGGAAAGGAACTCTTTAATTTTATTAGTATTTTTTTGTACTAGTAACACATTAGCTATACAAACTTATATAATTGATTTTAATATCTGAAATTGATTCATATGACCCGGCCACCCGGATTTTTATATTAAAAGAAAAATTTTTTAATTTTACTTAGGATTTTGTTGTTTCACAACCCGACTACTTGGTCAAGAATTTCTTAACGCTAACTAATCATTGGTGTTTAAAAACTTAATCTGACTCTAACTTTAACCCTAATCCTAGTTCTAACATTAAACTTGTAATTGTTGTAATTTATTAAATATGATTTAATTTCTATATAAATAAAGTAATCCATACTTTTCAAAAAATATTGGACGAAAATTATCTTATTTTCTTGATACGAGATGGAAACTTTGGTTTGGATTTAATATGTTTCTTTATTAATTTATGATTTAACAAATTATACCCAAAATGATTTAAACCCTTAACATTTTCGAGATAGTAAACAAGCAAAAGTAAAAGCAACCGAATTCAGAAAATTACAATTTAAAATGTTTATTTTATTTCCTATTTTGTATTCGATACCTCCTTTTAATATACCGTATAGTCCCGAAAATAAGCATCACGTGATATATATGAATTTATCAGTATATACGTGACTAATAATATAATAAATTCCATGTGACAAATAAATAAATTACTATAAAAGGAGCGTGTCACGGGGAGCTTATTTTCGGGACTATACGGTAGTATTAATTTGCAGGTTCCTTATTTCGAGATTGGATACATACCGCTTTTAATGACGAAAATTTTCCCGGAATTTATTAATTCTCCTCTCCATCACGCATGATGCATCTTGTCAAGTATCTTTTCAACAAAACCTGATATGTGTGATCCTATGAATCGATTTTTTTAAAAATAAGGTTTACGTGGATATCTCTTGTCTGGATGAGTATGTTATCAAAGATGTATCAACTCATCAAGATTTGCGCTGACAAATGTTCTGCGAATCTTATGCTGTTCTCTGATTACAGTCATAGTCGTAATATGGATTAAATGGCAGGTTTTATAACATCTTAGGATGCCCAATTAATATCAGTTGCAAACAGATCAAACTCGAGTGTTCAGCCTGACCTTCACCATATTATTAGTTTGAATAGATTACGCATTAAAAGAAATCGTGGCTATAATTTTATGGTCAATTTATAGATTGCAAAAAATTAATCAAAAGAGCTACTATGATTCAGAAGTAGTCGATCTCGGCGATTATAGAACATATTAAATATCATTTAGTTTGGAAAAGGACCTTTGTGCATTTGTAAAGATGACATAAAAATTTACAAAGAGTAAAAAGATATCAAGGACAAGAAAATGCGATGATGGTAAAGATGAGGATCGTCCTGTAGACATGAGCAACTATGTATCCTTTCACAATCGTGTATTCCTTCTCTCATAACAATTGGGTTTTTGTTGAGAGCTTAACAGGAAAAGCTGGAATTTTTATTTAGTTTGCACAAGATTGTATTCCATATTAATTTGACGAAATTAATACAGCTATTGAGTAGCTTGGTAATGAAACTTTTACGATTGAAGAAATAAATCCGATTATAATTGGGCTGTATATTATCATTAATTGCGACATATTTTTCAGTTGAGTTCAGGAATAGATTTGTCCGTCCTCAAAAACTAGTTTTTAAAACTAAGGACGGGTTAAACTGGACCGATTTATAATTTCAGTCCAAAAGACTTTTTGAAAGGATTGCTTGATGCAACGCTAGTTTCTTGAATAAATAAGTAATCTACAAATATTTTGAATTAAAATAGGATATTCTTTTATTTCATTTCCACCATAATTACGTTCTATATATCCTCCAGGATTATTTACAAGATATTTCACTACGCACGAGCAATATTAGATGATGGAAGTTGATAATTCCGTACCCAACCTTTAATGATAATATGACTAGGTACATATAGTCTAGCTTCAAACATAAAATGTGAGAAGGTGGGTTTGTAAAATTATATGTTTGTGATGTCAAAACAACAAGTAAAATGTCTTGTCATACCTATCATCTAATCATATATAGTTGAAAGCTTGATTGGTTCAATCACATCTTTTTTCTTATCCTGGTCACCTAGTGATGATTATTTTATCTCTAAAGTACTAATCATTTTATTTTCGGTAGTCCTAGTAACTCCAAAAATTGGTCGTATGCCGAACTTCTGACCCTAAACTATGTTCTTATCGATTTACCACCAATGGAATTCCCTCAATAGCACATGGAATAGACGATTTCTGCAGGAGGTGAAAGTACTTTCAAAGGATTACTGTGAAGGTTAAGAAATTTTGTTTACAATACAGACAGAAGGGGCCTTCCGATTTGTCTCTATATGTTCTGCTCTCATTGTCTAGGAATTTCAGTGTCAAGTCTCAAGAGATGTTAGGAAACTCCTGGCAAGTCTCTACTGCATTGATCATCAGGACGCTTTCTGTTTGCGATTCGTTTTTGTTCTGATTCTTGATACTTGTTAAAAATTTTTGTTAAATATGCATTATGTAACAGGTGAAGCCGAAGAAAAATTAACCTTGAAAGGATGAATAATTAAACCGATTTCACTATCGACAATGATCATGCAAAACAGCGGGCTGCAAAGCGTACAAACTAGCTTGTAGTCTTTGACCTAATATATGATGCTGGAGAGTAAGTATTATGACTTTGACTTCATTTTGGAAGGAAATCTTTGGAAGAAACTCCTTCAGAGAGGACACTTGGAAGGAAAATAAGGTTAATTATACTGAAAGCTATCATCATGTTTTTGTTACTTAATTTTTACCTTTAATGCCTCAATCTACAAATGATATCAAAAAAAGCTGTTAACGAAACTGAATATGAATCTGGAATTTACTTAACGAAATCATACATTGCAATGAATCCCAAACTTATGTGACCGTAAGGTAGGTATGGTCATATATGAATTATTTGACTTTTTGAAGTTACTGGCAAGCCAAAACTTGATCCTTGTACAAGATCTGTGGATAATATGAACATATATAAATCAATATTTATACCTGACGGCAAGAATATGATCGATCGGAAGATTTTGATTTTAATAAACGATGCTTATCGCAGTTTTGTTTGATATTTTTACAGGAGATGAACGAAAACCTTTTGATTTTTCAAAGCTAATAAATAGAGGTTAGCAAAAAGGAGCTTGCCAATAGGTTAAATTTCATTCCGGACTCATTAGTAATAGATTTTTAAAAGGCAAAAGTGGCATGAGCCATAAAAATTTTATTGAACAATAGTAAAATTACATAGAGATAATTGAAAGTACATGAAAATAATAAAAAAAAAAATAAAAAATAAAAAAATAAAAGAAAATACATCTAAAGAAAATAACTTAAGAGCCATCACAAGTCTGTAACTGCAAAAGCGTGCGGATAAACCACAAGTTAACAGACTGAAACGTGCGACAGCCCTTAAACTA